AAAAAAAGAATAGAAGTGGAAAAAGAAAATTATAGCACATCACTTTCCAGTAATCAGAAATTTAACATAAAATGTGTGGCTTCTTTTATGGGCTTATAAATAAAAATGTCATTTTTATTCCAATATATTCCATATAAAGTTGAAATTCAACAATTCCCCCTTCCCATAGACTACCAAAGACCCTTGCCACATCGCTTTCACACTCACACTTGTGAACTATTGCTTTTCAATTCTTTCTCTCACACACTCTCTCTCTCTCTCTTTATCTCTCTCGAGCACAAATTCATCATTTTTTTTTCTTCTTCAAATTTCCAATTCTTTTAGGCACTTAATCATCACATTGGATTTTCTATACACGCCTTAAATATATATATATATTTTTTTAATATTTATTATTATTTATTTTTCTCTAAGACTTTGATTTTATTCTAATTGCGTTATTTTACTGTTTTCGATAAAATAAGAAATAATTTAATTAACATATTTCCATGCATCAAAACTCGGCGAGCAAAAAATCTAGTATATATCTCTTTGTTGATGTAAAAAAAATATATATATATGCGTGACTTTTTTTTTTATGTTCTTTATTCTGTTTTATTGATTTTTCACACCCTCTTTTTCGTTAAAGAAACATTTTATTCTTGCCAATATAATATTTTATTTGAAGTAAATAAAATTTATTTGAATAAATTAATTTTAATATTGAATTTACAACGAATTTATTATATAGATTTTGAAATTAATTTTTATATAGTAAAGTTGATTAAATAAAATTTTTTTTTAATTAGTAAATAAAATATTGACGCAATTTGTAGCTTATCGGAAAATAGAAAATATTTCTATACTAAATATATTAATCAGATGATTATAATTATTGATAAAATGTGAATTGAAATTTTCTCTATACAAAGATTTTCATTTCTGTTTTACGTGTTTCGCAGAATGACCAGAAGAATGAAATATATATAGGGAAGATATGGATTTCGTTATCAGTCTATTTCCTGTCATTCATTTTCCGTTTCTATTGAGATATATGGAGAAATGGGAACACGAGAGGAATCGAGTTTGTCCAAAGAGAGTGTGTGAGAGAGAGAAAGAGAGAGAGAAGGAAAATATTGCGATAGTGCGAAGACGTTAACACACGCGTCTCCATGAATGCACGTTGTTGACTGGGTTTTATGTGTATACCACCGCCACAACCTTTTTATATACTCGAAATAGAAAAAAAAGTAGGTCTTTTAGGTCTGGGCTATTGAGACTAACAATTTTTTTAAGTATACCTTTTTTTATTAGCTGCAGGAAAAAAAAATTTATTGTGGCAACTACAACTCTCCCAGATAGCACGTAAGCTTGCCGCAAGCTTTAAATGTCCCACCTGACCCAAGGTTGCATGGTAAGCTTACCGAAAGATTGCAATGTAAGATTACTGCAAGATTGGGCAATAATAATATTGCAAGATTGCTCAGTAAGCTTGCACGGTAAGCCTGTCGCAAAGTTGGTGCAAGGTTTAACAAATAACCTTGCCAAACAGCACAGAAGGTTGCAGCAAACTTGCAGCAAGCTTGCCATGCAAACTCTGCTCGGCAACCTTATGGCAAGCTTGCGGAATATAACCAAAAATAGTGCTCATTTTCAATGCAAACTTTTGTGCTGATTGGGTAAGGTTATTGGTAACCTTGCACCAACCTTGCCACAAGCTTACCGTGCAAGCTTACTATGCAAGCTTGCGATAAATCTTATTATGCAATCTTGCAGTAACCTTACACTGTAATCTTTCGGCAAGCTTACCATGCAAGCTTGGATTAGGTGAGACATTTGAAGCATGCGGTAAGCTTGCCGTGCAAGGTTGGCAATATTGCGCGGCAAGCTTGCCGCAAAGTTGCTGAAAGGTTACGTGATAATAATAGGTTCGAAAATATTTTGGTTTTATTATAAAAAATTCTTAATTATTTCTTACCTTCCTTATTTTTTCAATGATAATTATTGTCGTCATTTTTATTAAAGGCCGAAACGACGCAATTGATTGAAAATTAATATTGGGGAAAAAAATTAATAATTATAAAAAAATTAAAAAGAATAAAGATTTTTTTCTAATTCTTTGTAATTAAGCGAAAAATGAATATCTCATTGTTACAAAAATGAGTAGACATCGTTATGAACTATCAAGTTTTTTCTGCGGAAAATTTGGAAAAATAAAAAAAAAATTTGAATTTAATTAAAAATATATAATGAGCTTTATTGCTTTCGAACTTTTAATTTCCCGAAAAAACAAGTGAAAGAAAAACAATTCTTAATATCTATGAGAACGAGAAGTTATAAGCGTAAATAAGTTATTATAAACAAATGAATATATATCTTCTTTTTACCCTTTCGTATTTCTTTGTCCCATTTGCAGGCATTTTCATTTGTTTAAAAGGACATAATAACATATATATATATATATATATATATATATATATATATATATATATGCCTTTGATGGAATGAGCTTAGAAATATATAATAATCCCAATCGTATGTATCAGGAATGTACTGTATTCGTATTCTCTAATGTGTATTTGTGTGTGTATCCATTGCATTTTTGTTTTTATTTTTCGTGACTGTAATATATTTTTACTTATATAATATTATTTCATATCAATTTTTTTTTTACATATGTAAGTAAATATTGGCTTGCATATTGTATATATATATATATAAAAAAATATTTATAAATATCGGAAAAATTATTTTATTTTTAAAAGAAGATTTTCATCTGTTTCGTTTCATTCTTCAGATATTCCACTTTTGCATCTTTTTGCCCTTCAGAAACTTTGTTTCGAGAAAAAATTATTAAATTCTTTTCAAATATTTTTTTGTTCTTTTCTTTATAAAAAATTCGGGTCGCAAAACTCGTTAATTTCCTCGTTAGAAAATTAAGCGATATATATATATTAGGAGTGGCAATTTTAAATACTCGACATATTTTATAATGTACTTTTAGGTGTGTTGGATTATATATATATATAGGAAAACGAGAAGAGTGAGGCAAAACGGAAGGATGATAATTAATATGTTTCAAGAGAACATTTATTATCACGAAGTAAAATCTTCAGTATCTTCGCGAGAAAATAAATCACTTCAAAGAAACTGAAAAGAGAGTTTGTATATGCCGGCTTAAAGGAATAGCGAATAATTAATAAAACTTTGACGGAATAAAGCAGCTCGCGCAAATGAGAATATCCTCTGCAAAGTTTAATATTCCGTTAAGATCTATTAAAAAACATAGGACAATTTACAAATCATGTTTTCCGAAATATATTTATTATATTTTCATCTCAAAACTTCGTTTCTAGTAAAAAAAAAAAAAAATTTCTTTTATAAAAAAAGGAAGATGAAATCTTTTTTCCTTTTTTTTTTTTTTTACCAATTATTTTGCTTTCAGCTTTTGTCACAGAAGGTATGACGTGATGATATGCGAGGCCAGTCTCTACCCCAGGATATTATTATTACACAAATCTTGTGTGTTATTGAATTTCAATAAATCGACTAAAAATCTTGGTGTACGAATTATAAAAAATAATTTTTAAGAATCTTTATAGATTTTCTAAAATTCAAATAGAGGAAATTTATATTTAAAGAAATATAAAGAGAGGGAATAAAAAAAAAAAAGTGACGGAATACCATCTTGAGCAATATTCAATCCGACTAATGGAAAGCGAAAACTATTTCGGTTTTGAATAATCGATATTAAATCTGAATTTTCTCAAAATAAAATGCTTTTAATACATCGCAAATAAATAAATAAAAATTTTTTAAAACAAAGAAAATAATATAAAAATATCCCATTATACATATATATATAAGAAACAAAATCCCCCAACGAAATTAGAAGGGTTTATAAATGACACAAAACCCTGACTTTTATACAATTAACAGAAACACTTTTATACATGTTAAAATTAACGAAACGCTTTTGATAAACATATTTTAACATTATCCATTTTTAATGAATTCTTTATTTATTTTTTGAAATAAAATAATATAAAATCAATTAACGAGAATTTGATATTAAAAATATAGACAGAAATTGAAGCGTACTCATAGTTATTGTTTGACGAAAATTTTTTGATAAAAAAAAAAAAATAATTTAAACGAATAATAATATGGAAGAAGATGCAGTCGACCAGATCTCTCAACGAGCTGCGATCGAAACCGTGAGCCAAAATGCATGCTCGCCACGTAAAAAAAAAAAAAAAAAAAATGTAGACTTCCCTTCAGTAATTTTTCCCTTTGTTGCTTATATATTCACGTATTTTTGTCGCTCAATGTTGCTTTCGCATGGATTTTTCTCGTCAGCTTTTAGCATTATTTCTTTGCCTTTTTTTTAATGCTTCAAGTAGATTCGGCCAAATAATAAATAGAATTGCTCGAAAACCACCCCTGATTATAAAAGCTTTATTAGATTTTATAAATTACTTATATATGTATATGATAAAAAAAATATTGTGTATTAGTTAAATAATTTTTCATAAATAATGAATAATAATTTACTGTACTTAAAAAATATTCAAAATATTTTGATTTTTACATTTAAAAATAATTCAATTATTTTTAAATTGTTCTACATTTTTTTTTGAATATTTAAATATATTTTATTTTAAAACTTTAAAAAAAATATAATAATATATTTTGTATTTATTATATATTTTTTTAATTATTATATATAATTTTGTAAAAATTATATTTTAAACAAAAAATAATAAAATCGAATAAAAATGCTTTTTGCGCATTTAAAGGCATGTTTTTTCTCTCTTTTGAAGAATATATAAATTCATTTCCAAAATAAACACATTTTATTTATTTATTTAATATATAAAGCTGCAAATAGAATACTATAAAATTTATAAAATAGAAGTGATAGTCAATAGTAAAATAAAATATTTTCTTAGTACGCCCCAGCATTTTTAGTTAATCTTTATTGATTTGTTAAATAATTAAATAATTAAATTTTCTTATAGGAATACTCTGTTCAACTAACATTTCGAGAACAATGGATAGATGAAAGACTTAAATTCAATGATTTTGGTGGTAAATATTAATTTATATTTAAAATATAATTTTTTTCTATTAAAAAAAAATATATTTTTAATTTTATTTGTTTTTTTTTTATAGGAAAACTTAAATATTTGACATTGACGGAAGCAAATAAAATTTGGATGCCTGATTTATTTTTTTCCAATGAAAAGGAAGGTCATTTTCACAATATCATTATGCCCAACGTATACATAAGAATATTTCCAGAAGGATCTGTTCTTTACAGTATAAGGTATTTAAAATTTTTTTTTAGATTTATTTTTCCCATTGTGTATTTTTTATTTAATTCATTTATTTTTATGCTTAAAAAAAATTAATTATTATTATTATTGTATAATATTAATGGAAAGCAATGATTGTTTCAGAATTTCACTCACATTATCATGTCCAATGAATTTGAAATTATATCCACTTGACAGACAAGTCTGCTCACTTAGAATGGCCAGTTGTGAGTATAAAATTTATTTTGAAAATAAAAATAAAATTCTAAACGTATTTATTAATTTATATTAATATTAATTCACAGATGGATGGACGACGGACGATTTAGTTTTTCAATGGAAAGAAGGTGATCCAGTTCAGGTTGTAAAAAATTTACACCTACCTAGATTTACACTGGAGAAATTTCTTACAGACTATTGTAACAGTAAAACAAATACTGGTAAGGAAAAAAAATATAGTCATCATTAAAAAAAAAAAATTATTTTTCCAAGTGAAAAAAAAATTGCAAAATGTTGACATCTGGTACTCTTTTTCAAGGGACAATAAAATTTGTGAAAATTGTAATTTTAAAATTTGTTTCAGGTGAATATAGTTGTTTGAAAGTTGATTTGTACTTTAAGAGAGAATTCAGTTACTATCTTATTCAAATTTACATTCCCTGCTGCATGTTAGTCATTGTCTCCTGGGTGTCGTTTTGGCTCGATCAAAGTGCTGTTCCAGCTCGAGTTTCACTTGGTAAGAAAACTTTTATTATTTACAAACACAAATGTGGTTTGTCAAGTCAAGAGAATTCTTTAGTGAATGCATTAAAAAAGAAATGTGAAGAACCCTGAAAAATCATAAATATTGTAATGTAATATACAATTTTTATTATTCTATATAAAATGTTATATATATACAATTGATTTTTGAAGAAGAGATAAGTTTTAATTTAACATTGTAATTAAAATGTAATTATCTATCTAGGAGTGACAACTCTGCTGACAATGGCAACACAAACTTCTGGAATAAATGCTTCACTTCCGCCAGTCTCCTACACAAAGGCAATTGATATTTGGACAGGTGTTTGTCTAACCTTTGTGTTTGGGGCACTATTAGAATTCGCATTAGTAAACTATGCGTCTCGAAGTGATATACACCGTGAGAATATGAAAAGAGAGTATCGAGAAATGGAACATTCCGCATCGGTGGATCCAACCACTGAGCTTTTAGAAGCTGATGGACCTACCAACTTTGCCATGGTCAGCCTTGATCTTGTAAATTTTCTCTAAGTATACCTTAACCATTTTAAATCACAATGAACAAAAAAAATGCAGTTGAATATTAATCAATGCAGTTATAAAAAAAAAGTTATTTAAAAAAAAAGTAAGAAACTATTTGGAAATTGATACAATGTCAACTACAATTTTTTTTTCAATTTTAGTAGCCAAGTAGAATTGAAAATCGAAATAAGTGAAAAACCTTTAGATTTTTAGAACAAGGATTCTCTGAAAATTCCTTTTTATATATCCGTAAACTAAAATTCTAAATGTTTTGTTCGTAGAAAATTAGAAATAGTATATAATGTTGCCAAAAGCATAAAACTGATTTAAAAACATCAAAATTTTTCACAATAACTTTAATGCTTTTGGCAAAAATTTGATTTCATCGCAACGAAAAGAACACGAAGAGAAGTAGAATTTATTTTCGTCTCAGGAGATCATGAGGACCATATCAGAATTTCGTTTCTGTTGGTAAATGTTTTTTGGCTGTTTAGTAAAATCTACACTAGTGTAACGTTTGTAATTGTAAGAATCAATATTTTTGCTCGCCGAGCCAGGGTTCGTTTTGATTCCAACAAAAATAATAACAGGATAATTACGGGTTAATTACAAAATTGAACAAATTATTTATTTACAACGGAATTTACAGGTGACGAAAATATACATGCGTACAGATAAATCGCGGAAGTCGGTTTCACACAACGATTCTCGGCGTTTATCGCGATACGTTGAGCCGCGGAATCGGCATCAATCTGGTAACGTCGCTTATTTGAGCCGCGCATTAACGAAATCGACTTCAACTCGCTGCAATGAGCCGTGAAATCAATTGAAATACTGCCTAAAAATTCGCGATATTCTGGTGAACTACGAGTAAAACTCGTGTTCTAATTATACGAATAGTAAAACTCTAAGTATATCTACAAACGTTAATAAAACGGAAAATTTACTGTGGGAATACAATATTTCTTTACTATTCATTTGTTACGTTACTTTACCTCTTGATACGTTACTTTACAATATTTCTTTACTATACATTACGTTATATCGCGACACATTATTTTACGATTCGTTACTATACACTATATACACATAAAACCGATATAATGTTCGACGGGTAAAACTCTCTACAAAGATTTTCGGAGTAAAACTCCTTGCAGGTGGGTAAGACCCATCCGGACTCCGTGTAGCACGAGAGTGACGGTCCTCAGCGAGAGCGAAGCTTATATAGCCGATCGGTGAGCTGGGCGCGGCGAAATCGGGTACTACGTCTTTGTGCTCCGCGGTCGGTAACATTATCGACGCGCGATAATATTTAGTACAAATATTTACCGGCCGATTTCTAACTATCATTACACTAGTGTTAAGTAGAATTAACTCTTCTCTCCGTGATGATATTTTTCTCTCGTTGTATAAAAAAAAAGGATATTGGCATGTGGCATGAAAAACTAGATGAAATGGATTTGAATCAAAGGGGTGGGTTCCTTTCAGAAGCCTCTCGTTCAACATCCGGCAGACCCATTGTCTATGGATAAAAGACGGCAGTGCAAGATTCATATCCAGGAGCCGCAAAAAAACTGCTGCAGGTCGTGGCTGTCCAAGTTCCCGACAAGATCCAAGCGAATCGACGTCATAGCACGAATCCTCTTCCCTCTGGTGTTCGCATTCTTCAACCTCGCATATTGGTCAACGTACCTGTTTCGCGACGAAGCGGAGAGCGATTAAACATCAACGAGGAAGCGCTTGGATCAAGGAATGTGGCTCGCGGCCACCTCAATCACTCCCATGCAACGCATCGCTCAAATTCACATCATCAACGAAACAACTATCAACGTAATACTCATGAAGATGATTCGGACCATCATTATCATTATCATCATCACCATCATCATCATCATCATCCAAGGCAACATCGTTCCCATCAGTCTTTATTGCATTATCGACGTGATGCAAGATCACAATCACCATCATCTCCCTCGGGTAGTCTACGTGGACGTTCGCCAAGACGTACAACGTCAAAAATTCGCTCCAGCAGTCTTACATCGCGAAGATCAACGCCATCACCAACGCCCACTGCCTCACCGGCGCAAACGACTTCACCATCGCCACCAACACTTCTCAAGGGAGAGGAACTCAATCGATTTCAACATCTGCCAACTGATAAAAAAGATAGGTGTTTCTGGGGCCTTTTACCACGTGGAAAGATGTTTCGCTGTCATGCCGATGGCAGTGCACGAATTGACGTATGCGCAAGAATCTTCTTTCCATTGGTATTCTTCATTTTTAATCTTGGTTATTGGTCCTGTTACCTCTTTCCACATGAGGATCATACGAACATGCATAAATAAATTTATTGGAATTAAGAGCGAGCGATTGCAATTCAATGTGTATGAATGTAGAAAATTTGTGTCTTCGAAACAGGGTAACATTAAAAAAAAAATAGGGTTTCGTCGTTACTTTTCTTCTTTATCGCACACGCCGATGGGTTTTTCTTAATTAAACAATGAGCTTCCAGCTCAGCTATTCAGCTCAAGAAAAGTGCAATTCACATACTTCGATTTGCTAAATGTGAGATAAAGAGAAGATTTCTGTATTAGGACTTTTTCTTTTCAAGAATTTTCTTTCAGTTTTTTTTTTTTTAAGTTTTCACATTAATAATTTATTTCTCAGTATTTTTAGTTAAATCTACTAAACAAAATCGTTCATTTTAGATTGACTAAAGGCCTATAAGCTCGAAAGACGTTCGCGAATGTGAAACATGAGTTAGAAAAGAACAAAGATATATTTGTATCCTTTTCTATCTCATGCATCTCGTTCGCGAACGATTTTCGTGAATCGTTGGCCTTAAACAAAAGGACTGTTTAAGGCCTGAGCAGAATAGAAACGTAACCAAAATAATGTGTTAGAGAAGGACAAACAATATGTTTATCCTTCTCCTAACTCATTCTTCCGGTTGCGTTTGCAATTACGATTCCGGTTATGTTTCTATTCTGCTTAGGCCTTTAGTCAAATGTAAAGGAGCATTTACAAGTTGTCACAAAAAAATTTACCAATAGAAATGCACAAATCTGATTGGTGGAATTGTGAACAGCCAATCAGATTTCTGTCGGTAAATTTTTTTGTGATAATATGGTAGTATCTTTGACTATAGTCGAATCTGTTCGTTTATTTTTAGGCCAGAAATTTTATTTTCCAAAAAGTAACTTTCATTCTTTTCGTTAAAAAAGGTCTCGATAATTTTGTATTGTTTTTTTAATAAAAAAAAAATGTAACGGAAGAAAATAACGACGGTTTTTTTTTCGAGGGGCGTGAATGTGTTATCATTGCGTGTATCATTAAAAATATCTTCATCATCGGGAGACCGCGTGCCACTAAGTGAAATTAAATTTTCGGGCCCTGTATAGCCACGGCCTGTGAGAAAAATAAAAAAATAAATAAAAAGAACAAAAATCGTACATATACAATTAAATAATATCTACGTATTGTCAAGTAACTCGTTATAATGTTATAAAATATTCAAGATCTCCGGTCCTTCGAGAAATATGTATAATTAAGTATCTTATAATTAAAGACGTGTTCGTATAGAATATCGAACAGTCATATAAAAAGATCAAATTTTTGCTCACGGTGAGGAAAAAGAAAAAAAAAAAAAAAGTTCGAGACCCCTATGTCTTCACCAGGGGAATTTCGTTCTTGATGATGATTCATTGTGAAAAAAAAAGAACACTATAAATAAATTTTCTCATCAGGTGCGATTTTCCCTCCCCACCATAAAACGACACACGATTTTATAGCTCAATATCATCGATATCTCGCTGGACCGGAGAACCGTTGTAGAAGTTTGTCAACGGCGAATCAAATCTCTAAACTAAAACTCGATTTTCGCATTACGAAATGAAAAAAAAAAAAAAATAATACGAATTAAGTGGTGAAAACTATAGGGAACTCTCGCTGAAAATTAAATAAGAAAAAAAAAAAAAGTATGTAGTTGGAGTGTATATATCATAGTTATGTTCCGTGTCTCAAAGAATCCTCGCATTAATTATTTCAACGTTCTTCTCAACAAAAAAAAAAAATCTTCTACATTTTTATTACATAGAGGGCTTTAAAGCATTTTTCAAAAATGATTAGCCCTTTTTTTTCGTATATATATATAATCCCCCAAACGATCTTTACGCACACGTGAACAAAAAAAAAAAATAATAATTACTTTATCATCTCGTTTTTAAAGCTCAATTTCGCGTATGTACATTTTGTTATATTTATTATGTAGTCTATATAAGTTAGAATATATATTTATTTCTGACCAATTTAGTCAAATTTTTGAAAAAGTAATAATTTTTACGTACGATATATACTAAACGTATAACTGATGCAAATGTACAGAGTTGTCAGGTAGAAGTTCCAGGATGTCTTTGCTTTTTTTTTTTTTTTTTCTTTTCTTTTTTTTAAATAGTACAACGCGCAGAGAAAAATGGATCCGTTTTGAAATTCCTGCCTGGAACCATCACTATATAGATTTTAAAGAGTTACAAACACTGTACATAATTCAACACAGATCATTAAGTTTTACAAGTAATTAAAAATGTGCTACTTGCAAAGGGGCTCAAAAATAATATTTGCATTTTAACTTTTTACTGAGAAAAAAACGTTTTTTTATAGTCAGTTATTTTTTTTTATATAAGAAATTATAAATTGAAATTTTAAATATTAAAATTATACAATAATCGTTTTAGGAAAAAAAAAAAAAAAAAAATTTGAAAATGTGAATTATTTTGAGATCCTGTGCAAAAATGCACTGTTCACGATTATACATATACACGATCATACGAGATATTATAAATATGAATATAATGTAAAACATATGTCGTGCTCAGTTAGCATATGAGCACAATAACCAATATGGATTTTTGTACTGTTTGTTGATTATTATTCATGAAGAAAAAAAAAAAAAATAATTCGAAACAAAGGCGCTTCGTTTGCTCGACAGTATTAATGTTTTTCCTCTCAACAATCAAACTGTTTTCGTTCACTTAAATGAATTGTTTCATTAGTGCCAAAATTGAACCAGAGGACTTCCTCCACCCATGGGATATTTGAGTGAATGAAAACACTTTATTAAATATTCGTCTAATTAATAATAGAGGAAAAACATGAAACTCTTACAAATTGCTTTCTTTGTCTCGAATTCTATTTTATCGAGTCATATACATGTTCAAGTAATTCAAGAATGCTTGAAACATATTTCATAATTGGTATATTTATTATAATCTTAAATTCAAATTGAAATGGAATATTTAACTGTCTTTGTATTAATAAAGACAAAAAAAATTTTTTTAAACTTTTTTTCTTTTTGACATTTGTCGAGGTCACATATTAATGACATATTAATGAATATATTTGTTTCTATTTCTTTCCACATCCAGAGAAAAGAAATATATATTTATCTCAGAGGCAAATAAATATTTGTTAAAATAAAATTTTTATTTATGACAAATAAATGGAGACAAATATACATTTTATTTAATTCAAATATACGAATAAAACATTTTTCTGGATGTAATCATTAAATTTGTATTTTTTAAAAAATTTTTTAAATATTTGACTAATTTAATTTTTAATTTTTAATTTAGTAATTTTTATGAAAATATAAATTCTAGCAGTGTCGGACTGCTATTAACAGCAGGCACAAGTTTAAGGAAACTAAGAGGAAATAAACAATTTTAAAGAAATTAATCTATCACAGGGTTTACATAGATAATTAGACCATACTCTATTTCGTATTCGTATGCGCACGCAAGCACAATTCAATATTATTCGCATTACGCACTTCAATTTCACTCCGTTGCATTTTTAATTCGTATATTAAAATTTTTTTTTTTCCTTTTTTTTTACTGCAACGAGAAACATATAATTATAATCAATCTCTAAGGGCCGATTAAATTAATAAAAGACTGATTAAATTAAATTAATCGGAAATAAAAAAATTTTTAGCTACCGAATTTTTGTCAGAATTTTTATTTCTTTTCATGATTTTTATTATTTAAAAGAATTTTAACTGAATTCTCATTCAGATTTGAATTTTTAAATAAAAAAAAATTCAATTCACCGAATTTTAATTGATACGAATTTTTAATGATGTCGAATTTTCATTTCGCCGAAATTACAAATATAATTTTGCTGCAATTTTTTGAAAAATTGAACCATTCATGATTTTCTTGATAATTTCTAATTGGAGAAATTTTTAAAAATTGCAACGAGAAATCATTCTCGTCAATTATTGTTTGTTCGGTCATTTATAATTTCGGACAAATGAAAATTTGGTAAATTTGAATTTTTGTCATTTAAAAATTGGATAAATTAAAAATTCTCTTTACTAAAAAAGTCATGTATAATGAAAATAACTAGAAAAAAAAATTTTGTCAAGGAAAAATTCGACAGTTAAAAATTTTTTTATATAAAAATTTCTATAAAATAAAATTCGAAAAAATGATAATTCGTCAAAAAAAAAAATTATTTCTGATAAAATTCTTTAAAATAAAAATTCTAATGAATTATTTTATGGGATAATTAACTATAATTAATCGAAATTGATGAAATCGGCCCTATAAGTCGCTGAGACAATCGCATAAACGAATTAATTTTCATTTATAAAACAATTATGAAAGCTTTCTTAAAATCTAGATAATCATTAAATAGATTAATTTTAATTAAAATTTTCACATTCTCTTCGAGAATAAGGCATTAATTTTTTATAAAAAAAAAGAGTAACCAAGTTACTAGAGGAGTGAAATTGAAGGTGATTATATAAAAATTCGACTATATTGCCCAAAGAAAGTAAAATGTAAAAAGTAAAATTATTCGTATAACGAAGCGAAGTCCATTTTTGTGAAAAATGTAGACTATCATTTTTTTTTTTCAATTTTCTTTTTTTTTAAGTTAGTGCGTGACACGTAACGAAAAGTATAAAATAAAAAAAACAAAAACCAGTATAGAAGATTGTTTAAAAAAAAAAAGAAAAAAAAAATTGCACCTTGCGTATATTAAAAATGGATTTGACGATAAAAACAAGTATTATAATATGTAAGTTTGTGTGTCACCAAAATTTTATTTCCAAAAAGCCCACAATGAATGAATTTTAACCTGTGCACAGAAAGTTATGTCGTAATCACGTATGAATACTGAATGTTGGATATACAATATATTATACGTAAATATAAAAAAAAAATCACAAAAAAAAAATGAAAACAAAGGCATGTAACAAAAATCAACTCTATTTATTTGAAATTATCATTAGATTAATAAATCTATAAGAAAATTTTGATTTACAATAGAGATGATTTTTGAAGTGATTGGGAATCAATAAATCTCTTTAACGCGGGACGTAGAAAGTAAATGTCACGAAATATGACTCGACGGACAATTAAACTTTGAATACAAAATATCATTATTTCTTTATTTCAAAAAAAAAAAAAAAAAAAAAACCCCCTTAACAGATTTTTTATTATATTGTTTTATTTTATAAATAATTTATTATTTATATAATAGGAACAAAATATAACAAAAGAAACATATATATATATAGAGAAGATGTATTTTATTTATATTTCAACATTACATTAATTTCTTTCATTTTTCTTGACCGAAGAGATGAACATGAAAAATGCTACTTTTGGTTTACATATATAGTGTTTATAGATAAAATTTTATATTTTACTAGTTAAGCAGATTATTTAAAAAAAAATGATTTTTTTTTTCAGTCAATTACTTACATATTGAAAAGAAAAGTAAGTAATTAATAGCAAAAATTAAAGATGAAAAATAATTAATTAAATTAATAATTATTTTTTCATAAAATATTTAAATAAAAATTTTCATTTCTTATAGAATTAAATCACACTTTTATTTATATTTTATTATATAAATACGCAAAAATTGAGCCAAAATTTTTATATTAATTTAATAATAATTATATCAATTTTGTAATTGATAATATTTAAAATTCACAAATAATATAACAATATTAATAAAAATAATAATGATAATAATATATAATAATAATAATAATAATAATAATAATAATAATAATAATAATAGTACTAATAATAATAATAGCAACATCATAAAACTTTATATTTTAAACATAAAACATGATAACTATAATTTAATAATTTAGTTTTATATAAAATGAAAAATAAATGAAATAATTATTAAGCAATTAAATAGCAAATTGATGAATGCATATTATTTTTATAATAACGATTATTTTTTGGCTTATTGCTTTTTGTCTATTATATTTTACAATAGAGAGTAAGAGATTTTATTTTTTTTTTTGTAAAGAACTTTAAAAAGCTGAAAATTTTTTTTTCTTTTTTGTTTCATTAAACAATTAAATTACACTCAGTTTTAAAAACGATGTATAAATTTACAAATGAATCATTGATATTCTTTGAATATTTTTAAAATTGGTTGACTATATCATATATCAACTATTACTTAAAAGACAAATGTAAAATAATTATATTTTTTTATACATTTATTCTATATTAAGTTTCTTTTTTTTTGTCTTCAAAATAAGACAACAATAATACTGAAAAAGAACCTCGCTTATATGAATGAAGAAAATTTTCACAATAGCTATTGAGCTTTCTTTGTGAAATTAAAAAAAAAATAAATAAATAAATAAAAATAATTTTAATAATTTAAATTGTAGGAACATAAGTTGAAGGTGTACCATTTCTTGATAATGTATCTGACGTGTGTTGATTAATAGAATTTTTTCGCGTTCCATATTTATGAGGTTGTAAATTTAAAGGTGGTAAATTTGGATGTTCAATTCTTGTTGGAGAACTGACGCGTGGACGAAGAGTGCCTCTCTGCATTGGATATAATTCTATCAAAAGAAGATAATTAGTTTTTAATTTATTTATTGTAAACAAAAATTTTTAGTTTTTAATTTAATTACTGTAAAAAAAAAAATTTAGTTTTTAATTTACACTCAGAGAAATGGTATATTTGTCTCCGAGCCTACTAACTCATTTATTTGTTTCAATTAACATTGAAATAAAAAATTTATTTGAGCCAAAGAAAAATTTATTTATGACATATAAAATTTTTATTTACGCCAAATAAATAAGTTAGTAGGCTCTGAGACAAATATACGTTTATTTAATTCAAATATATTTTATTTGATTCAAATAAATCATTTCTCTGGGTGTAATTACTGTAAAAAAAAATTTTAGTTTTTAATTTAATTACTGTAAGAGAAATTTTAATTTTTAATTTAATTACAGTAAAAAAAAATTTTAATTTTTAATTTAATTACAGTAAAAAAAAATTTTAATTTTTAATTTAAATACTGTAAAAAAATTTTAGTTTTTAATTTAATTAATTAGTGAGGGAAATAATTTACCAGAATCATTTGGTTCCAAAACATCATCCAATTGATAATATTCATTTTTAACAGATAGAGGCTCCTCATAATCAACAAATGCTGTATTATCGAATGCCTTGTCATCTTTTGGTCGATTTAATGATAATGATGGTGATGGTAAGGGCGGTTCAACGTATGTCTAAAATAAAAATGTTTCTTATTTTGAATCTTAAAATATAAAATATATTATCTGTTAAAGATCAGTATTTTCTTATTTTTTGTACACTCAGAAAAAAGTTATGTTTGAACCAAATGTATCATTTTTTTATATTTACCCAATTTTTTGATTAGTTGAAACAAAATTTGTTTAATTCAAAACAAATATTTATTTGATCTAAATAATTGTTTGGTTTATTTTAATAAATTTTTTGAACATAGAAAAAATTTGATTGAGCTAAATAAACGTTTGGTTTATGCAACCAAATGTTTGGTTAACTCAATGCATTTATTTTGTTGATTTAACCAAAATTTGGTTGCTTCAAACGAATTTTTTTTCTGAGTGTGAGTACCGAGAAAATAAAATTAATTTGGTTCAAATAATCAGTTACTACTACTAGACAAATAAATATTTAAATAATTTTTATTTGAGTCAATTAAATATTTATCTATTTCAAATACAAAAATTATTATGTTTTCAAACACATTTTATTTAATTCAAATAAATATTTATTTTTGAACCAAATAATTTTTCATTTGAATTAAATAAATTGTGTTTAAAACCATAATTTCGGTATTTGAAACAAATATACAATTTAATTGACACAGATAAATATTTATATTTGTATTAAATAAATATTTATTTGTATTAAAAAAAATATTTATGTATTAAATAAATATTTATTTGTATTAAAAAAAATATTTATGTATTAAATAAATATTTGATAATAAATGCCTTGAGTTTTACATGTTCAGTGGGAATGGTTGAAAATGAACGTTTATTATAGTAGGCTCCATTGCCATTGGTCTCATTGGTGCGCTTATTATAAAATGCGCCATTTCCAATTGTTTCGTAGGTGTGCTCCTCCAAAAAATGTCGCGTTGTGCCTCGTGGAGTGAGTGTCGCCCACATTACACGACTGTCTTGCATTGTCTCCGTTGTACATGGATATAAAACTGCTTCATTTTGAAGTCTTCCCGCTTTTGTTTGCATTCCTGATGTTGCCGTTGGTACCGAAATAACGCCATTTTTTCCAGTGTCATTACTACGTAAAAAACTGATCAGAAAAATGTATTTTACATTCACTTAAATAATTTATTTATTTTATAATTTAAAAATTTATTTATTTAATTATTTAATAATTTATTTATTTAATTATTTAATAATTTATTTACTTAATTATTTAATTTAGTTCAATTTTTATTTGTACGAATTTTTAAGACACCGAATTTTCATTTATTCGAAATTATAAATGTCCGAACAAACAATCGACAGATAATGATTTCGGCGCAAAATTCGTATATATATACACCCAGAGAAATGATTTATTTGAACTAAATAAAATATATTTGAGTTAAATAAACGTATATTTGTCTCAGAGCCTACTAATTTATTTATTTGGCGTAAATAAAAATTTTATTTGTCAGAAATAAATTTTTCTTTGGCTCAAATAAATTTTTTATTTCAATGAAATAAAATATATTTGCAACAAATAAATGAGTTAGTAGGCTCGGAGACAAATATACCATTTCTCTGAGTGTATAAAAAAAAATTCTATGTCAAATGCTAATTCCTAATTCGAAAAATGAAAATTCGTCTAAAAAATAATTATTTCTAATAAATGAAAATTGTAATTGTATAATGCGTCCTTTACTATTGAATAAAAATATATAAAAAAAATAATTAATTAGCAACTTACAATTTGCATTTAAGAAGTAAAGTTGCCAGTATTATTCCAATGCAAATTACCCCCACACATGATGATATAAGAACTAAGAGCCAAGTATCGTCGAAAACGGTCCCTATAAGAATTTCAATTAATTTTATTAAAATTTTTGCAAATATTTTGGCATTTATTAAAAAATTTAAAGAAAAAATTAATTATAATTAATTTTCACCTTGTTGTGGAATTTCGATATATTGAACACCCTCGGAACGCCAATTGCAAAAATGTTTACAAGGACTGTCATTATGATGAGATCGAAAAATAACAGTTTCCGAATCTGTAAAAAATTCGGATCCTTGTTGCAAAAAACTGGGAATGGGCGGTGGTGGAAGACGAAGTATCATATCTGGCGGTGGGCCTAATGTGCATAATGCACAATTTGAATTATTAATAATAGCCGCTACTTCCATTCCCGACATCTAGAAAATTAAAAATTCATCTTTTTTTTTTTTTTAATTCAAAAACGACTATAATAATAAATAATAATAAAAATAATAGTAGGAAAAAAAAAAAATAATAATAATAATAGTAGTAATAATAATAGTAATAGTAATAATAATAGTAGTAATAATAATAATAGTAGTAATAATAATAATAATAGTAATAATAGTAATAATAGTAATAATAAAAATAGTAATAAAAATGAAAATAATAATTATAATACACGTAAAAAATCTTTATCTGGAACAGCGATAAGTTTCACTGGAATAGCGATATGTTTCACTAAAACAGCGAAAGTTTTCGCTATTATAGAGAAATATATCGCTGTTTCAGATAAAAAATTTTTTTCGGTGTAATAAAAAATAATAATTATAATAAAAATAGTATAAAAAAAGATATAAACAAAAAAAAATATTTTAGAATTCATAAAAATTAAAAATATATTCATTAAAATCGAAAATTGAGTATAAAATATTTGTTTTTTTAATTTTAGAAGAATCTGTTTTAAAAAAAAAACAGAACATTGATATTATTTACGAAATTATTGAATTTGTACTTATCACACCATTTTTTTTTTTTATGAAAAAAACTTAAAACACCACATATTGTCACTTATTCACTGAAGTAAAAAATAAATTTTGTTATAAACTGTTTAAGAATAATATATATACACAGAAAACTATTTTATTTATTAAGAAAATTCTTACCATGATTAAAAATCGTTTGCCGAAAGTTATATCATTGAATGTCGACAATTTTTCAATTGAAACTAAAGCGCAAGCGTCATAATATTGAACGAATTGAAAATGTTCTCTCTTCTTTCATCAATTTGAACGCGCATGCTTCTTAATACATGAGTCATATATAGGTATATGTGTGTATTATTTCAAATTTTTTTTTTGCCAAATAATAATATAGTTTTAAATTATTAAAGAAATTATTATTTATTATTATTATTATTATTATTTATTATTACTTTTTCCATTTTAAAGTATAATATAATTATTTTTTAGACCAAATTTAATTTGTCCTAATTTTTATTTGTCCAAATTTTTTACTTGTACGAATTTTTATTTTGTCCGAAATTACAAATGGCCGAACAAACAATCGACAGAAAAATTTCGGCGCAATTTTTTAAAAAAATGACCAATTTATAAAAATTATTAATCGCGTGAATGGTCAATATTTTTAAAAATTGCGCCGAAATCTTTCGGTCGTTTTTAATTTCGGACAAACTCTCTAAATCTGAATTAGTAAAAATGTTTACTAATTTAAATTAGTGACTTATTTTTTGCTTTAGAATTAGTTAAATTTTATTAATTGTTAGTAAAAGTTACTAATAATTAGTAAAAATTTTACTAATTGAGAAGCAAAAAGTGAGTCACTAATTTAAATTAGTAAACATTTTTACTAATTCAGATTTAGAGAAAATGAAAATTTGGCATTTCAAAAAATTCTTATACAAATATAAGAATTCGGTGAATTGGATTAAACAAAAAAAAAGTATTAAAAATATTTTATAAAAATAAAATAAAAATATAATTTGTAAAAAAATATTGATGGAATTTTGTGAAAATGTGAGAGAGCATTTATGCGAAAGTGAGTCTGAATATTAAAAGAGAATTCGAACTTGAAAGAGGAGGAAAGAAAATGGGGGTCACAATATATCTGAACATGCATTAGATCAAATGACCACAGTGTCTACACGAATACACCTTAAGTCAATTGTCTTTTGAATTCTATTTATAAAAAAAAAAAATAATAAAATTTCATTATTTTTTAAAAATTCTATAAAATTTGTTTTCCTAATAATAAAATTATTCCATATTCCAAATTGATTGGGATTTTAATTTGTTTATAACTTAATTAAATCATTAAAGTGTTAAATAAAAATGGTTTATTTTAATTTAAAAATAAATGAAAATATCAAATTTGTACGTCTAATAATTTTTTTTCTACTATGTTTGCAAATAGAAAAGACGTTACAATTTAAAATTATCAATAGTTCAGTAGTGAATGAAAGTTTAATGAATTCTAATAACGAGAAATTAACAATAAAAAATGAAGATTTTTTTTTTAATTTTAATATTGGAGTCAATAAAAGTGATTTTTTTGCAAAATATGAAATCGATTTAGAAGAAATATTTGAAATTTGGAATCCAAAAAGTATTATCAAAATTTGGTATTTAAAAAATTTTAACATCACATATAATTGTGAATTAGATGTATCTAGATTTTTAATTGGAATATCAAAAGAAGAAAATTGGGCATTAAGAAGTAAGTCAATATATTGTTGCGTTGAATTTGAAAATAAATTTTTTTAAAAAATCATTTTTTCTACCAATATATTATTTATTCTCTGCTGATATTTAATTTTTTTTTTTTTTTTTTTTTTTGAAAGAAATAGTTATTAAAAATTGTGTTCCAAGATTTTTTTTTGCATTTTTCAAGAATGTATGTAACACTTAATGATATATGAAAAATGCAAACAATGACTTGAGAAAACACTTATGAAAAGAAAAAGTTGCGAAAGATTTTGACACATCATAAAAATAAATATTGACCTACTTTTTCACTTTGCAATTTAAATATATGTGCTAGAACAAAAATCTATCTATATTTTTAGTTGTTATTTACTTTTTCGACATTCTGCCAATTAAAATTTGTTGAATATATTTTTTTATTACTTACCTATTCAATGGCTGAAAAGATTATTTTATTTTAAATTAATATTATTTTTAAATTAAGTTAAATTAAACTAAAATTAATAATAAATAATAAATTAATAAAATAATAAAAATAAAAATAAAATAAAATAATTAATTAATATTAATAATATTATTAATAATATTAAATTAAATTGAATTAAATAGCTTAATAAACTAAATTAAATTATAAATATTAGCGTTCCTGTAATAAATAAGCACATTAAGAAGTGCAAATCGAGGATTATACTAATGAATCGAAAGCGTTAGCATTGAAATGCTTCCTGTAGAAAGGGAGAAAGTGGTTTTTATTTAGCGAGATTTTTTTTTTATCTCAAATATGCTGCAATAATATAATGCTAGAGTAATCTATTATGACCACATAATTTAGTAGTTTTTATTTATTTATAGGTATTTTTTTTTTTTTTTTTTGGTCTTACTAAACACATTATTTGAACTTATTATTTGTCTGACAAAATATGCATTTACTCTACTTATTTCTATTTCCCTTATATTCTGTCTGACAAAACGAGTACCTAATCTACTTATTTTTCATATTAATTTCTCTTTCTCTTATAATTTGAAAAATTAATTGTTTAATTATTTAATTTATCATTTATTATTATTAATTAATTAATTAATATAAATTAATTAATTTAAAAACAAATTTTTTTTTATAGTGGTTGATGCAAGTGGACGACATAATTCAGGAATATTTTCCGGTAACCGTTATTGGTTAGGAGCACCAGAACAATGTCGTGAAATGGAAAATAATTTTTTAAAATGGAAAAAAGAAGGAAGCATTTCAGAAAAATTAGTATTACCACCTTTTGCAATCAGCGTTTTTTCAATTAGTCTAACTCTTGAAATTATCAAGTCTGGAATCAACGGGGTACGTTCGTCTTTTCTTTTTTTTATTATAATAATAAATAAATAAAAATATAGAATAATAAAAATAAAACAAATATAATTATAAATAAAATAATAAATAAATAATAAAAATAAAACATATAAATATAATTATAAATAAAATAATAAATAAATAATGAAAATTAATAATAAATAAAATAATAATAAATTTATAAAAAAAAAAATATATTTTGAATAAAATAAACATTGAAAAGGAATTTTTGAATAAAGACATTTTTTTAGTGTTTTCTTAATAACGTAGACGCACAACATAACACTGGGACTATGTCTGCCAATGAGTTGCACCGAAAAGGACGTAAAGGGACTTTTAAATTTTTCAACAAGCCAAAGGGAAATTAAAACACGAACAATTGTTGTTAATAATGTTCGAAATCTTGCCAATGGTTATGTTATTTGGAATGACATGGTATTTTATATTTTAATGTACGTATATCCCCCCCTGTACTATAGACTTTTTTACTTACATCGCAGCATCTAACTTTTTTGATATTGTTTCAGAGTTGCATTTATTGTGGCTTCAATTCTTGTTGTTCTTGGCACTGGTTATGATTTATTGTTACGACACAATGCAATAAAAAATGAAGCCAAAGAACAAAAGAGAAATAATTCTAATCAAAATTTTTATAATGATGAAATTACAATATCCAAATTATTGGCAGTTAATAAACATAATGCTTCTCTGGGTAAATATTTTACTAATTATAAAAAAAATAAATAAAAAATAAATTAATAATAAATCAGATTTAAATAAATAATTAAATTTTGTAATTTATATTTACAATTTTTAGATGTTGATAATGCCAATAGTGTACCAAAACCTTTGTCGGAAGCTTTATTAGCATTTAGTTTACTTCTGAATATTTCAAAACTTTGCAGTTTTGATGTAGGATCTGATACATTGGCACCAATTCATGGATTACGATTTATTTCAATGTTATGGATCATTCTCGTTCACAGTTGCCTGATAACAAATGAAATTTCAGGTTAATTCATTTGCTCTTAATTAAAAAAAATTTTTAATAACTAATAAATTAATAATTAAAAATAATAATTAAATAAAATTAAAAGAATAATTAAATTTATTAGTTATTATTATTAGTTTAGTTAATATATTTAAATTATGCACAACATTTAAGATAGCTCATTATGGCGCTCAAATGCGGAAGCTGATTTTTTATATCAAACTGTTAGCAATGGATCATATGCAGTTGATACATTTTTTTTCATTAGGTAAGAAATAATAATTAAAATTAACATTATATTGGAATTAATTAACATATTATTTATCATATATAAATTAAATTTAAAAATACATAAATTAAATAATAATTAATTATTTTTAATATAATTAATTTTATTTTAATTATTTATTTAATAAAATTTAAAATAATAAATAGTAAAAATATTTATGATTATTATTTATTTTCAATTTGCAAGAAATTCTTATTGGATAATGAAAACTATAATTAATAATTTTTTTTTATAGCGGATGTTTGGTAGCATTTCTTTATTTTCGAACAATTACAAAAGAGAAAATTAAAAAGAAAAAAATCACACACGGATTTTGTGGACAAATTATGCAATTTTTAGGTTTAATGGGATATAGATATGTGAGATTAACACCTCCTTATCTATTGATAATTGGTTTAATTCAAGTTTCAATGAAATGGTATCATGATCATACAATAATTGAATTTCCAACATTGGATCATGAAACGTGTGAGAAATTCTGGTGGAGGAATGCCCTTTATGTGAACACATATTTTAATATGAATGAACGTGTAAGTTTTTTTTTCTACGCTAAAAAGAAACCTGTTTTTTTTTATTATAATAATAAATTACAATAAAATAGATGGACATTGATAAATATTTTTTTTAGTGCATGGTATGGAGTTGGTATTTGGCAAATGACACTCAATTCTACACAGTGGGAATTATTATTTTAATTATTGCAGCTAGGTATTAATTTAATTATTACATAGATGGTTAAAAAATTTAAAAAATGGTAAAATTTTTTGAAAAATATAAAAAAAAAATTACCGACCTAGAAATCTACCTTACCGACTGATGGTAAAACAGGTTTTTTGGGAAAAATAAAAATATAAAAAATTACCGACATAGAAATGTACCTTATCGACTGATGGTAAAGAAATTTTTGTTGAAAAATAAAAATTATCAACGCAGAAATCTACTTTACCGACTGTTGGTAATTACCGACTGATGGTAAAACAGTTTTATGAAAGTTGATAAAATTTCCAAAAAAAATTTCTTTACCATCAGTCGGCAAGGTAGATTTCTGTGTCGGTAATTGTTTATATTTTTATTTTTCAAAAAGTTTTACCATCAGTCGGCAAGGTAGATTTCTGTGTCGGTAATTTTTTATATTTTTATTTTTTCAAAAAACTGTTTTACCATCAGCCGGTAAGGTAGATTTCTGTGCCGGTAATTTTTTATATTTTTATTTTTCAAAAAGTTTTACCATCAGTTGGTAGTGTAGATTTCTGTGTCGGTAATTTTTTATATTTTTATTTATTCAAAAAAAACTGTTTTACCATTAGTCGGTAGTGTAGATTTCTGTGTCGATATTTTTATATATTTTTATTTTTTAAAAAAAATGATTTACTATCAGTTGGCAAGGTAGATTTCTGTGTCGGTAATTTTTTATATCTTTATTTTAAAAAACTGTTTTACCATCAGCCGGTAAGGTAGATTTCTGTACCGGTAATTTTTTTATATTTTTCAAAAAGTTTTACCATTAGTCGGTAGTGTAGATTTCTGTGTCGGTATTTTTAATATATTTTTAATTTTTAAAAAAAAACTGTTTTATTATCAGCCGGTAAGGTAGATTTCTGTGCCGGTACTTTTTATATTTTTATTTTTTCAAAAAAAACTGTTTTACTATCAGTCGGTAAGGTAGATTTCTGTGTCGATATTTTTAATAATTTTTATTTTTTCAAAATTTTTACCATCAGTCGATAAGGTAGATATTTTTTTCAGTTTTACATCTATTGGTGCTGCAATTGGTTTATTTTTCTTAATTGCATCTTGGATTACCACAGCCATAATAACAATTAAAATTGAACATGCACCAAGGTAAAAGATGATTTTAAAATTAAAAAAAATGCGTCATTTTTTAATTTTTGCCTTTTTATTATTTCAATTAATATTTATTTTATTTCTTTTTAAAAGTATAGAAAATCCATTTGCTCATTACGAAAGTCTTTATGACAAACCGTGGACTAGAATTGGCCCCTATTTAATTGGCATGACAACTGGATGGTATTTATTTAGAGTTAATTGTAAATTACAACTTAACAAGGTGAGATTTGAATTTGTTTTTTAATTATATTTATGTAAAAAAAAAAAATTTTTTTTTGTCTCAAATAATTAGTTATTTGATACTAAATATATATTTGATACAAATAAATATTTATTTGTATTAAATATATTTATTATTTTTTTAGCTCATTTTAATTATTGGATGGACTTTGGCACCATTAACAATGATAAGCATTGTTTATGGATTATATGGAATCATGTTTGAACCAATTTTATCAGCATTTTATTCAGCTCTATCACATTCTGGATGGGCATTAAGCATCGCTTGGATCCTAATTAGTTGTGTAACAGAAAATGGTGGTAAGTTTATATAAAATTATTGTCTCTGTAAAAATGATTAAATAATTTACTAATTTTTTTTTTTTTTTTCAACTGTAGGAATAGTGAATAAATTACTCTCATGGAAATATTTTTATCCAATATCAAGACTTACATATTGTGTCTACTTGGTTCATCCAGCTATTTTACGAGCAATTATTCTACAATCTGAAACATCATTACATTTATCACATGGACTCATGGTAATAATTTTTTTTTTTATCAAATTAAAATTAATTTTGAATTTTAATGAAATTTATTTGAAAATTACTTGATCACATAAATTACAAAACACCATTGGAAAATATTTTAAATTGGACTAATAATTAATATATTAAACTCATCGCACACATTACGTGAAAATAAATGCGGAGGATATTACATATGAAAATGTTTAATAATGTAATTACGTGTTCTTGCACGTAATGTCGGTAATAAAATTTGTATTAGTTTTATTTTTGCCAGTTAAAAAGAAAAAAAAAAAAATTTAGCAGATCACTAAAATTACCGATTTAAATTAGTAGATTTCGTTTCTCCTGACACCGAAAGATCTCGACAGTATATACACGAGAACGAAAGAGAAAGTTTTTGGGCTTCTTGTTTTATTTTCCTCTCTCTCTCTCTCTATACTTTAGCGAATCTAAACAAACGACTTATTATATATTGGATAATAATAATAATTGGATTATAAATATTCACATTTTGCAAACGTGATTATAAAATTGTATAATCAAATTGGAATACAATGAAATAGAAAAACGCTTTCTATTATATTTATTTAAAAAGCAAAAGTTAAAAAAACAAATTGCAAAAAATTTTTGATTTATAACTAAAATGCAATGTGAAAGAATAACAAGGTTCTAAAATATATATTATATAATAAAGTTTACAGAGATAGATAATAATCGTAATTCATTGCTCTAGGAAAAAAATTAAAATTTTATTTACGCTAAATAATTTTTTTTTTTTTATTTAAAATAAATAAAAAGCTCTGGAGACAAAGAATTTTTTTTATTAAAAACTAAACTAAATAAAATAAAATAAATAAAAATAAAATTAAAAAAATAAAATAAAATAAATAAAAATAAAATTAAAAAAATTAAAAAAAATACTAAATAAAATTTTTGTGTTAAATAATTTTTTTTTATTTAAAATAAATAAAAAAGTTAATAAACTCTGGAAGAGAAAATATATTTTTATTTACTTCAAAATAAATTTTATTTGTCTCAAAAATTAAACGACAATAAAATATTTTTCTCTGGGTGTTTTTAAAAATAGAAAAAAAACAATTAATTAATAAAAAAAAAAATTTTAATTAATTAATGTAATTATAAATTTAATGAAAATAATTATTTTTATAACACCAATGTTTTATTTTGCAGGCATTTATGTTTTTTGGTGTTTTTATTTCATCCTATGCCGCGTCCTTGTTTCTGAGTCTATTTTTTGAAGCCCCGATGGTGTCCTTGCTGAGGATCGTTCATCCCCTTCGGCAATGGAAACGTGAATAATATTATATATGTAGATTTATTATGACTGGTCATAAAAAAAAAAAAAAAAAAAACATGAATGGAGGCCAGACTTCCCATCGCATTTTTTTTCACCTGCGCTTTTAATGTATGTCATCCACTTAATATTAAATTATATATATGTATGTTATTTTGCAAAATTAATTTGGAATTTCATTTTTTAATAATAGAATGATAAAAAAAAGGTTGTATGTTTTAACTTTATTACTCGTTTACTTTAAAAATTACATCTAGTTTTTTTTTCTTTCAGTTTCTTAACTTTTTTTTTTTTTGTATTATTCTTAATTATAACTTTATCTCTAATTTATTCTTAATAGGTTTATATATCCACATTTTTTGTTTTTAATATATGTACATATGTTTAATATAAACAAAACATTTAGTTGTAAAATAATTTTTTTCAATCGATTTTTTGAAAATATTATTATTTTTCGCTAATATTGATATATAAATTTTATATATAAAATTTTTTTATATTATTTATATTTTTTTAATATTTTTTTTTATATTTTTTATTTATATAATTTTTTTTTATATTTTTTTAAAATTTTTTGATATAATAAAATTTTGCATAGCGGTTTATAATAAAAAAAAAAAAGTTACCAAAATAGAATAAAATTTATTATTAATTATTAATTTAATAAACAAAAACAAATAATTTTTGTAGTAAAATTAAAAATTTACACTCAGAGAAATAGATTTCAGTCTCTCAGAGCTAAATATTTGTTTTAAATAAATTTTAATTTAAATAAAAAAATTTTATTTGCGCTAAATAAAATTTTTTTGTGTTAAACAATTTTTTTTTTTTTTTTTATTTAAAACAAATAAAAAATTAGTAAAAAAACAAATTATTTATTATATTTAATAATTCGTGGATTTTTCGCGAAAACAATTATTGCGCGAGTCACGAATAGCGATTATCAAGGGTCGTTTAGGCACGACTGAACATTTAAATAATAGACTTTATTCGAAAATCTACAGGAGCTGAATGATCATTAAAATAGTAAATTTCCTCTAGAATTTCTATTTTCTATTGTTATTCTTCCATTAAGATTCGCTCAAGCAGATCCTCGCGAATTATTTCATAACGCACAAAAATTCTTTAAAATTCTTATAATTTTTATTGGTTTATCTATTTAGTTTATTTTAGTTTTTTTTTATTTATTTATTTATTTAAAATAATAATTCTGTGCACGGGCAAAAAATAAAATTTTCTATAAAAAATTCGAATGATAATAAATTAAAAAGAAGAATTTTTTTTTTTTATTATTTTTATAAAGAGAGCAATTGATAAAAATGAGACATTGGATAAGGTTTTTTTCAATGTGAATGACAAAATAGATGCGATGACTTGTTTATAGAAGAGAGCAATGAAGCGGAAGAAAAATTACGTTATGCGATTAAATAAAGATTTCGGTCCCCGGAAGCGTAATACAAAAACAGATATTATTTAACTACACTGAAAAAAATTAAAAAAAAAAAAAAAATACAAATTGTTTATTAATTATTAATTATTATTTAATAAACAAATTTTAAGTAAAAATAATTTTTTTTTTTTGCTATATTAAATATATTTTTAGTTTTAGTAATTTTTAGTAATAATTATATTATTATTATTTAGTATAACAGTTAATAGTGAAAAAAGTTTAAAAATTTATTAATATGTGACGCTACATGAGAGAAGGGACCTTACGTTAAAAACATATTAGGTTATGTTCACAGAAAATTATAAGGTATTAAAATATTAAATTATTATTATTATTTATTATAAACGCTTATTATTTTAATCCAATTTTGCTTATTTTAATATCAAAATGGATTAAAATAAGCAAAATTAGATTAAAATAATAACCGTTGTAGTTTATTTTAATGCCTTTTAATTTTCTGTGTTTAGTAATTTTTTTATAAGTGAAAATATTCAACTTTTATAATAGAATTTATGAAAAAGATTATTGAAAAAATTTAATAAAACCTAATTTTTATTTTATTTAAAAAAGTAACTTTTTATTGTATAAACTATCAGTAAACATAACCTAAAATTTTTTTTATGTAAGGTCCCTTCTTTCGTGTAAAGTGTCACGTATTTTGAAAAAAATGAAGCTAAAGCGGAAGTGTCAAAAAATGTCTTTTTTTTACACATTTCACAATTTATAACTGTATTAGGTATATAGTATATATATAGATGTTTGGTATGTATAGGAGTATATTAACTTTAGGTACGTGGACAAACACGATTTTACTGTTATCGAGTGCCAAGAGAAGAACAAGTGGAATTAATGGTCTTAAGGTTTTCAGTTTTCACTGACACCCCCCTTCCCTCCTCCCCCCTTTCGTAGACAGCGCTCATTCGCTTTGGTGAAGCTAAAATCATTTCTCTACCTGCCACCAACTCCAGAGAATTGAGAGAAACAGTTTGTTAGTAACCATACAACAAAAAGGATCCACGAAAAATTAAAAAAAAAATTAAAAAAAAAAAATAATTTTTCAAATCAGTAAAAACAATGTCAAAAACAAAATTTTTTCAAAATTTCAAATACTAATATTTCGGATCAGTGAAATGAAAAAGTAATTTTTTTTTTTTTTTGTTTTCTTTTAGCAAAATGAAAAAAGTGAATAAAGAGTTATGACATCAAAGGAATTATCGGATATTATTAAAAGTCATCGGTTTTTAGTGAAATTAAGAAAAAAATTTTAAATTGTCTCATTGGATAGTGATGAGAGGAACTGATTAAAAAGTGAAAGTTAGAAATTCAAAAAAAAAATTTCAAGTGATTCGCGTTGAAATTATACATGTTTTTTTAAAATTAATTTTTAACAGTATTTTTTTAATTGTACAAAATATGAAATTACCAAAAAAATAAATAAATATAGAATATAATTAAAAAAATGATTAACGACTGCTAAATAAAATTTTCAGTTTTGTTCAATTTTTTTTTAATAATAAAAACAAAAAAAAATAAAAAAAATGGGTTTCATCGTTCAAACTGTTGTTGCGTTAATTTTCGTTGGAGCAATTTTAGGAGAAGAATGGAATCTCACAAATTCCGTGGAAGCAATAAATGATGATAAAAAATTAGATGAAATCTCATATCATCGAATAAGAAGTTTACCCGAGACTGAGGACACATTGACGACAAATTGGACAACAATTTCTGAAATTTTGGATATATTTAATGTAAAGCATCTTGCAAGAAAATGGATAGAGGGGCAATATTCAGTGGATGCACAATGTGGCAAGGACATTACAAGATATATTCAAGGTCTAAAGAAGCAGGAATTCTGGGCGATTAAAGGTGAATTGAAAAAATTTCAAACACAAATTTTTTTATGGGAAGCAAAAATAAGAAAAAAAAATTAGCCCTCTAAGGATCAAAATATAAAATTATAATATAAAAATAATAATAATTATATAATAATAATAATTATTATTATTATTATTATTATTATTAAACAAAGAAAAAAATATAATAGATGTTAAACAAAATTCCCCTTTTTTATAAAAATGGATTAATAACCAAAATATTTAAATAAAAAAAAAATGGATTCAAAAAGAAAGTTTTGCGGTCAAGTATTTTTCCTTAAATCGATTAAAATCTCTATTTTGAAATTCTGTGACCCATTTTTTTCTCATATTTAAATTTAGTTATTTCCCACTTTCTCCTAAGCGCGTTTTTACTTTCGAAATTATTTGAAAGAATCACTTTCTTCGCTTTTATTTAAGCAATTTTTTTTTTTTTTTTCTATGGAATTTTAATTACCAGAATTAATTTCTGTAAATATTAAATAAAATTTTTTTTATATACATTTATCCCAATAAATGGAAAATATAAATTTCTATCATTTTTTAAAAATTAAATTTATTAATAATTAATAAAATTTTTAATTAAACTTAAATTTTTTATTTACGTTTTCTAGAAAAATATTTAAAAATTGAAAAAAAAAATATTGAGATTTAGTTTCTTTGAAAAAAAATTTCTCGACGCCTACATTTTAAATATATATTTTTTGTCAAATATTAGAAAAGTATTACCCCTTTCCTTCATGAATTGTGGAATTTTTTTTTTTTAACCAAGTTCTAAATAATTATATACCAATAGAAAGTTTTACGAGAATATAAAAAAAAAATGAACGTCAATTTTTTCAATATGAATAATTTTGATTTTTTGGAAAATTTTTCTTCTTTTCTAATTACAATTATATTCACATGATTTTTCCTTGTAGAAAAATTTCATTAATTATAATAAATATTATTTTATTGAAACAAAAAAAAAAAATAAAAGTAAAATCAACTAAATTAAAAATAGAAACGTGCATCATCTGACCACTATTTTTTGTCAGGCTTTTATCAATTATTTGAATGCCACTGCATGAATAATTAATTGACAAATAAAAATATAAGACCCTTATACGAACGAAATAAATTGGAACATAAAGTTGTCATTTCTTAGAATTTTTAATGATTTTTATTTAAAAACAGGATTTATCTAAAATATATGTAATATGGAAATATAACTTCTTTATAATAATTACAATTATTATTATTATTATTATATTATTATTATATTATTATTATTATTATATTATTATTATATTATTATTATTATTATTATTATTAATTTTTTTTTTTAATTTTCCCGCAATTACTATTTTTGAAAAAAATAATATTTTTATATTTCCTCGGTCAATGCCATATTTTTCGCGTGTATCAACAAAAGCAAATTTTATGCCGCAATATTATGAGTTAAAGAACTTGAAAACGTGTAACAATTCATTGTCCTTTTTTTTCATTGGATATGCATCGCGCGCTCACTTTCACGTAATTCAGTGAAAAAAAAAAAAACACGACAAAATTCATCACTAATGAAAAAAAAAATTTATTTGATTCAAATAAACAAATTACTTTTATCAAATAAATATTTACTTGAATCAAATAATGAAACCTAATAATTGAATTAAAATAAATTGTATTTCTATATACTCAGAGAAATGGTATATTTATTTCCGAGCCTCATTTATTTGTTGCAAATATATTTTATTTCATTGAAATAAAAAAATTTATTTCTGACAAATAAAATTTTTATTTACGACAAATAAATAAAATTAGTATAGGCTCTGAGACAAATATACGTTTATTTAACTCGAAATATATTTCAAATAAATCATTTCTCTGGATGTATAATTTTTGTATTTGAAACAAAAATACGATTTAATTGACTCACAAATTCAGGGTGTCTACTAGTCCTGGAAATGTCCTGGAAATGTCCTGGAATTTGAAAAAATGTCCTGGAATGTCCTTGAAAGTCCTGGAATTTTAATTTTTGTCCTTGAATTTTTTATATTTTGCTTTTAAATTTTCAAAAATTTCTAATTTTGTCAATCAAGTTAAAAAAAAATTCATTAAATAATTAAAATGAAAATTTACATAAGTGATTAATTACTTTTTTAATAATTTCTGAAAACAATAGTTAAACTAAAAATTCTTTTTATTCCTTAAGGTCATCCAATTTAATGTCCTGGAAAAATAAGAAATTTGTCCTGAAAAGTCCTGAAAAAGTCCTGGAATATTAATTCAAATTTTTAGTAGACACCCTGGCCGAAATAATAACAAATATATACCTATATTTATTTGATAATAAAAAAAAAAATTGTATTTTCAATTATCTCGAAAAAAAAGTATTTATTTTATATAACAAATTTTATTGTAGGAATAAAAAATGTTATTTTATAAAAAATCATTTAAAAAAATAAAGTCATTTTATAATATTATTAATAATCGTAACCTTCTGGCTAAGCACAAAATAATTGTTTCAAAGAACGATAAACCGGATAAGATGTATATATACATATATATATGAAATAATAATTAAAAATACAGAGTGCAAAGTTTTTCCTGAAAAAAAAAATCCAAGTGGATATATCTCAGGATCAAAGAATTTTAGTCCTTGACATGATTTTTTTGAAATTTTTATCTGATATAGCACTATTACTTAGTGTCGTGTCATTGAGTAACAAATTACCATTAGAATCTTATAGAACAGGTATAAATCTTTCAAAGAAAATTGCAATAGAAAAATTAGCATAGAAAGGATTTTTCAAAAAGAAAAAAAAAAGAAAAAAAAAAAACAACAAAACATTTTTATAAATATTATAAAAAAGAAAAATTTTCTTTCTTTATAAGATCACGAACCATCTAATTGAAGCTCATAAAGTGAATGATTTTTTTAAATTTATTATTAATTAATTCTTACAACGATTTCCCAATGAATATAATTAATGCGAGATTTATTGAAAGTTTTACAATATATAATTTAATTCAAAGATAATATTGAATTTTAAAATTAAAAATTCATTTTTAAAAAAATAATTAAGCGACTACTGTTTTATTTTTGAACTAAATATAATATATTTGAATTAAATAAACGTATTTTTGTCTTAGTTCATTTATTAGACGTAAATTAAAATTTTCATTTGTCATATAAATAAAATTTTTATTTGTCATAAATAAAATTTTCATTGAAATAAAAAAAAAAAGAATTATTTGAAATGAAATAAAAATTTATTTTTGAAACAAATAAAATTTATATATGAATCAAATAAATATTTATTTAGCTCTAAGGCAAATATTTCTCTGGATGTGTACACTCAGAGAAATGGTATATTTGTCTCCGAGCCTACTTATTCATTTATTTGTTGCAAATATATTTTATTTCATTGAAATAAAAAATTTATTTGAGCCAAAGAAAAATTTATTTCTGACAAATAAAATTTTTATTTACGCCAAATAAATAAGTTAGTAGACAAATATACATTTATTTAACTCAAATATATTTTATTTGGTTCAAATAAATCATTTTTCTGGATGTACATATAGTACGAAAGTTATTCATATTTTAAAGATATAAAAAAAATTGTCTTTGTTTTGAAAAAGCAAAAATGAAAAATTTCATAAATATTTTTTTTTAAAGAAATGGAAAATATTTTTTTTATATAGGAAAATGATTTCAATTAAATATATTTATTGAAATCATCAATTTTTTTTTATAATTATAAACACACGCTTAGTTACTCCACATAAAGATTAATTTTAGAAAGCGTAATAAAGAAAGTCCATACATATATTTGCATGAAAAATATTCAATGACGATCGTGACATAAATTTGTAGTAATTATATTGAAATTGCACAATTTATGAGAAATAAAGGAAAACTTTGTTACGTGCATAAGAGGATTTCAGAAATATAGTATATATATATATATATATATATATATATATATATATATATGTTACGCACAGTCATGTAAAACATTAGTCATTCGACTTTCGCGGAAATGTATAATTCCTCAATGAAAAAAGTCGATCATTTTACTTATCTTTTTATTTATAAAAAAAAAAAAAAAAAAAAAAAAAAAAACTATCATTTTTAGGTAAAAATAATTATGAATTAATTAATAATTATTTTTTTTGTTATTATTATTATTATTCGTCTTTATTAAAGAACAATAAAAAAAATTTATTTGATTCAAATACTCGATTTTACTTGACTATTATTAAATAAACAATTACTTGAATCAAATAATTTTTATTTGAATTAAATAAATTTTATTTGAACGAATAATTTTTGTATTTTTTAAAACAAATACCATCTCAAATAATAATTATTTGATAAAAATAAATATTTATTTTAATAATATATAGTCAAGAGTACACGCAGAGAAATGATTTATTTGAACCAAATAAAATATATTTGAGTTAAATAAACGTATATTTGTCTCAGAGCCTACTAACTTATTTATTTGGCGTAAATAAAAGTTTTATTTGTCACAAATAAATTTTTCTTTGCCTCAAATAAATTTTTTTATTTCAATGAAATAAAATATATTTGCAACAAATAAATGAATTAGTAGGCTCGGAGACAAATATACCATTTCTCTGAGTGTATAATCGAGTATTTGAATCGAATAAATTTTTTTTTCAGTTTATAATAAAGAAAATTAATGATAATTTTAAGAGGGATAAAAAAAAAGTGATTTTAATGTTCTTTTTCCTGTAATAAAAGAAACATATGACAAATTGACCAATATAAGCAAAACTATATATCTGAATAATGAGAAGGAAAGTTGACATTTTCTGAACTCTTTGCTCGAAATAAGTTGTTATATTTGTAATGAAAAAAAAAAAAAAAAAAAAAAGAAAGAAAGAGAAGGACAGTTCGATAGACATATATGCGAAATTCTTCAATTTAAACTATGTAACACACATTATTTACCTGTAATCCTTTTGAAAACTATATAT